CTTTTTTTTTTTTTACATTTCGGTAATTTTTCCTTAATATAGTAAAAAAATAAAACCCCCAGTGGTGAATAAATACCACCAAAATAAAGCTCTATCTGTCCCCAAAAAAGGGTATAAAATTCATTTCAGTACAGCGTTGCATGACGGAATAAATGTCAGTCAAAGTACCGCAGCGCTGAATACTGAAAAATGGCCTGGATGGGAAGGGGTTTAACACCGCGGATGTCAACTGGTTAATATACATATAAAAAAAAAAAGACAAATTTGTGTTGAGGAACTAAATGTACAGAGAATCACACTCCGATATTTTGTGGTCGCACTAATGAAAATCCAGTTAATTACTCTTTTACTTTGCTTCTTGTGGATCTGAAGGTGTACTATTTCCAGGAGGAACGAGATAAACTGAGATATGAATGTAATGATCTAGAAGAAAGGGTAAATTGTGAATGTTTATACCCACAACATCTACACCTACTAACACAATATTGCTTTGGTTTGCATACGCACTGACTTGTTTTATTGTAGCTGGAATTACTAATATACGTTTAACACTTAAATTAATTACAGTATTTCACAGAAAGACCAGTTGTAAGTATATTGCACTTTATCATGAGCAATGGTGTATGAAGAGGACTACAGTACAAAGCATGCTGTTTTGTGCTTCTTTGCACAATAAATAAGACTGCATCAGTATCTAAAGCTAAATGGTATGATGTTAGTTGGAGCAGGACTTTTAAAATGGGTTGACTGCTTGTATTTAAAAGTTAGGCCATCCTAAAAAATAAAACATCTGTTTTTTATGTAGATGCTGTTGATAACCACTTCTGGGCCGCAATATGTCTATAGATGGCAACCACCTTTTGAAGTGGTTAAAACAAGATCACGGCCGCTGCAGCAGCCGTGTTCTTGGTACCGCTCTTAACAGCAGGCGATTGCTGTTAATTTACAAGCGATCCGGCGTCTGTACAGGCGCCGGATCGTTTGTACCGTGCGGCGGCGCACCCTCCCCCCCCAGGCGGCTGCCGGTCTGTGACCGGAGAGAGATTCAGCCGCTTCCAGCCGCTGATCTCTCCTCCGATCACTAGACCCGGAAGTGATGTGCATTACATCACTAGATCCTCAGCTTCTTTGGGGTCCCTAGGTGACATTAGGGGTCTGCAAGACCCCTGATGTCTCCATAAAGAGGAACTGTCACACCCTATCTGCTATTAGATAGGGTGCTTGTTAGCTCCCTATGTAATAGCAATAGGGTTAGTGGAAAAAAAATAAAATAAAGTGTTTAAAAAGTTTTAAATCTTTTTAACACTTACACATGCAAACACGCGTCAGTGCGCCTATGTGCAAAAACGACAATTGCGCTACACGTTACATATCGCCGCGAACGTCGGTGCGAGAGCAATAATTCTAGCACTGTCAATGACTGTTAGCACTAAACTGATGAGCGGTAAAAGCGTTTAAAATGTTCCCTATGGGAAATTTTGGGTATTTACATTTTTTTGCGGCTTTACGGGCGAACGCAGTTTTAAGGTTTGACATGTTTGGTATCTATTTACCCGACGTGATCCCGTCTTTCATATTTTACCAAAAAATTGGGTATTATATTATGTTTCTGTGCACTAGATTTTAATTTAGTTTATTTTTTCCTAAAAATACGGGTTTGATAAACATTTGCGCAAAAAAACGGTGCAACGTAAAAAATCCGACCTAGAATTTTTTTTATTCTACAGGGCCGTAGCTTTCAGAAAATATATCATTATTGGGGGTCTGAAGCTGTTTTCTAGCCAAAAATGTATATTTTATCATGTGTGCGCAAATAGTAGGAAAATGCCCCAGATGGCAAGTGGTCCCACTCTAATTTAATGGCTACAACGGAATCTCAATATCCCTATTTGGTTTATTTAGACTATATTATGAACAATGCAGAAAAATAGAATTGTTGAAAACAGACTGATTAAACACCAAACAAAAATAAAAATGACGGATTTTTGTCCTTTCCAAAAAGAAATAAAAATGTTTTGGCTTTAGATATACTATAACGCCCATGGCGTCAAGGGTCATCCAGGAAACTCAGCACTAAAAGCACGGTCATAAATGTATCTGTTGTATCCCATGAGAGTGAAAATGGGAAACCTGTTTGATAAGAGCAAAAACGTGTTGACTAGGGCCCTTGGACAGTTTTCACTCCAAAAATGTCCCCATTGATAGACTTACTATCAATTGTATTGTAGTAACAACTCATAATTTTGGATTTTCCATCACTTTCAGTCCTGGTAACAATGGTCACCAGGACAAATGGGGTAAATTTGCTCAGTGGGGACATAGACTAATAAAAACTTAATGGGCTATAGCCCCTCACTACTTGCCACCAGCCAAAAAGTTTTGGCTTTGGATACAGTTTAATTCTATTTTCATATTGTGGCAACACAAAGTAGGGACGAAAACATGCAAGTTCCTCATTCTGAATTCACTCTACGTTATCAAGGAGACTTCAAGTGGCACAGCATAACTGGTGTAGAGATTGAAACTACTAAGGCAGATAACTTCCAGGAGGTACACCAGATGGTCTAGGGTTACGCTCTGGAACTCTAGTAAACTGTCTTCCATTACACTATTATCTAAATCAGGATATTGTTTAACATTTAATATTATGATAATGCATTTTGGTTCTGTGATGTATAAAACTGTTGTGATTACACATGTAATGCTGATCCAACTGCTGTGTGTGGCTGGCATGTATCAGATTGTACAGGAGAGCAGTTCTTTCACTGTGAACAGTTATGTGAATTGTATGGCTTTGTTTTAGGTCGCAGGTCTCCAGGAAGAGAAGAGCAGCTTGCTTGCTGAGAACCAGGTTCTTATGGAACGCCTGAACCAGTCAGATTCATTAGAAGATCCCAACAGCCCGGCTGGAAGGCGACATTTACAGCTTCAAACACAACTTGAGCAGTTGCAGGAGGAAACCTTTAGGTATAGCATTCACCGAACGCTTTCTTTTACAGTTTCATGTTCTCTGTAATAAAAATATCTTGCGTTACGTTTTTATATTTATTTTTATTCATTTTTTTAAATAAATATTTTTATTTTTTACATTACTTTTTGGGGCTTTGGGGAAATATTAGGGGTCTAAACAGACCCCTGATATTTCCCTTTTTAAAATAGATAGAAAGAAAGATAGATAGAAAGTCCTCAATCTCTTTTTCTGTTTCCCTGTTAATGAACAGGAATCCTCCTATGAGTGTTCCTGTTCATTCATAACATAAGGACATGATATGTTTACTATAACTATACTATAACTACAGCTATTAATGAAAAGGAGGTGATGTCGATCACTCCCATTCATTCATAATTGAGGATATAGTTAACATACCATGTCCTCAATTATCTACAAACACTCAGCGATCACTGATCTCTGAGTGCTTGCACTCACTCTCCTCTCTGACACGCTGTCACAGGAGGCTGATCGAGCGGCGTATGGAGGAGAGCTCAGCCTCCTGTGACAGCGCGGCCTGTTTCCACCCACACACCGCTCTGCCGGACTGTGATAGGTGGCCGAGCGGTGTGGGAGGAGAGACGCCGGCCGCTCACAGCACTCTATTCCCATAGCGCTCGGCCGGCTGTGACACTTTCTCTCTCCGGCCGCTCACAGCACTCTATTCCCGTAGCACTCGGCCGGCTGTGACACTTTTTCTCTCTCCTCCCCGCTGGGACAAAGAGCAGCGCCCAGCGAGGAGGAAAGAAACCTGGGATGCGCCAATGTATCGGCAGGAAAATGCCACTTTCGGCATTATGCCAAAAGTGCCATTTTCGGCCGATATTTTTCGGCTGACGATATATCGGTGCATCCCTACGTATACTAACATTTGTGGCTGATAGTTGCCTTTTTTTTCTCTGAGTTTGTTAGTATATGTGTGATCATTTAATCCTATTAGTAATGATACAATAACAATGTCTAATATTGCATGATTGCAGTTTGCTACATCACAAAATGTACAGATCAGTAGTTATCTTGAACTGTCTGTAGAATCCTAGAACACATATTGTTAGAATGAGTAAAATGCCAAGTGTGGGCTTGGCGCATTCACTAGATGCAGACTTGCTAGGACATTTCCCGTCAGCTGATAAAATAACAAGAAGATATGTACAGCCAGGGGCTGTGCTTATCGTCTTGTCATTTGTGAAGCTAATAAAATTCTTTGCACCTTGAAACGATCATCTGGCTCTCTTTTTGATCTTTGCAATTGCCTGGTTTAGGAATTATAGGCCAGGACCCACAATGATTGCCCCGTTTGTTAATCCAGGACTTCAGCTGCCTAGTAACACCAGACCCCAGTAATAGCATGCACAGGTGGTGGAGGGGTTACATCTTCTCATATAAAAAATATTGAGTCTTTAGAGTAGCGGTTCTCAACCTTTCTAGTGCCGTGACCCTTTGATAAAATTGCCCAAGTTGTGGTGACCCCTAACAGTAAAATTATTTTAGTTGCTCCATCGCTATAATTTTGCTACCGTTAGATAGCGGCTCCCGGCCGCCCGGGAGAGAAGCACTTTCTCCTGGGAAGGTTTACTCTGCTCGATCGAGCAGAATAAACCTTTCCCTGCTCTGGTTTTTTGTTTTTTTTTCCTGACATGGAGCCGCCGGCTGCCGTCAGTCCGAAAACAATAACAAACCAGCTTAGGAATGCATAGCTAGATTCCTATTGCCTATTTCAATTTGCAATATCCAATAGCAAGCTGGCTATTGCACCTGCCCTCTGCTGCTGTCAATCACTAGAAGAGGACCTGATGGAGAACTTTTGCTAGTGGCTATTGGAAAGTGAAATAGCCAATAGGAATTTAGCTATGCATTCCTATGCTGTTTTTTTTTTTTTTTTCTGACTGCTGGCGGCTCCGATGTCAGGAAAAAAAAAACCAGAGCAGGGAAAGGTTTACTCTGCTCGATCGAGCAGAGTAAACCTTTCCGGGAGAAAGTGTTTCTCTCCCGGGGCCGCTTTCTAATAGCGGGAGACTCCGGGAGCGTCCGGGAGAGTTGGGATGTCTTTAAGCGACCCCTGGCAAATCGTCATTCGACCCCCTGACGGGGTCGCGACAGGTTGAGAACTGCTGCTTTAGAGGGTGTCTAGTATGTTTATATATTGTAGTAAGTGCTCAAGTGGTGAATATATTTAGTAGGTATTTTTCATCTTGTATGTCAAAAGATGTTGATTTATTAATATTTTGTTGTATATAAATAATTAGTTTTTTTGTTTTATAGGCTTGAAGCATCCAAAGATGATTACAGGATACGCTGCGAAGAGTTGGAGAAGGAGATTGCAGAATTAAGACAACAAAATGAAGACTTAACCACCCTTGCAGATGAGGCGCAATCATTGAAAGATGAAATGGATGTGCTTCGGTACATAACCATATTTTTTTATTTTTTTTATTTTTTTATGTAATTTAAAATGGTGACCTTAGGGATTTTTAATCTTGATGAAAAATTCTGAAATTGTAGAATATATTTAATGGGTCTTGAAGTTGGTTAGAGTACATGCTACTATCTGCTAGTTATCACAGAATATCGAACCACCTCTATTTATTCAGTTACGCCATTATGTGCCGTATGTACATTCTCTGGTCCCGATACATATTCATGAAAAAAACATTTTCTTTTAACCTGTTGCATGAGTCATTGCTATACTTACTGTAGTGTGTTTGTCTCTGATAAGAGACTCTTGACATTACGGGTTTGTATTTACCAGTTCTTACAGTTTAGATCTTACTTGGAGAGATTCCACTATGGTTGACTAGTTTATGGTTAAATTATAATTGGGGCAACTAGAAATTTTGATGAGAAAATCTTGCCAGTGGAGTCACCAAGAAATATAACAGCATGTTGGTACCACACAAGCTTAAAACCTACCTCCTAGGTAAATTAAATAAAATCTGCCTCTGCACTGCAAGGGTTAATTGATTGTTAATGTCTAGGGTAGCTGTGTAAAGCAATTTTACTTACCTGATCTGCGCTCCCACTGGCTTCATGTCTGGCACCCACAGCCTCTACTCCTCTCCGCTGAAGTCATCTAATGCACTGTCCATAAATCTACATTATACTCGTCTGCTGGGGAAGTGGGGATCAGGTAAGTAAAAGATCTTTACACATCCCTCCAGACATTAACAAGCTATAAACCTTTTGTAGTTGTCGTGTTTTGGGCTTTTTTTTGTTATAACTTGTGATGGGAAAAACATTTGGGCTGCCGTTACTGATGCCATCTTGAATATGCTTGTTGCCTGGCTGTCTCCGTCTTTATTACTTTTTAAATCGTGGAACTAGAGAAGTATGCAGATGAGAAAATCAGACAGAAGGCAGTTCTTATTTGCATGCTTGTGTTGGGTGACTCAAAGTACTGAAATCAGAGGATCGGCACAGGTCATTATTGGCATCCTCTATGTTTCTCTCATGGCAGGATTCTTTAAGCAATCTTAATGATATATTGAGACTGCTGCATATGACTTTTCTCCTTTATGGTTTCAACAAAAATTGCAGATTAGTTTACTAGACTTTACTATGCATTATTAAAATCCAGTAATCGAAGAATGGCAGCTTTAATTTGAGACTTCTCACACAGGTATTTTTGCTTTTGTGACAAGGTCCCTTTAACAGCTGATGGGGTGAAGTGGTGTATAATACTGATATTTCCTTTGCAGTCACATTGTTAAAGTCTTCCAATGATGCACACGCTTATATTTTGCTATATGTATTCTTTCAGGCATTCTTCCGATAAAGTTACCAAGTTGGAGAGTCAGGTTGAGTCTTACAAGAAAAAGTTGGGAGATTTGGGAGATTTAAGACGGCAAGTGAAGCTGTTAGAGGAAAAAAACACCATGTACATGCAGAACACAGTCGGCCTAGAAGAGGAGCTCCGGAAAGCCAATGCTGCTCGCAGTCAGCTGGAAACCTATAAGAGACAGGTATACCCTCACCTTCAAACAAGTCAAATAACTGCTCCATTTCTGCTCTTGGTTTTAATTGCAACATATACAAACAGGTTGTGGAGTTACAGAACAGACTATCGGAGGAATCTAAAAAAGCAGACAAGCTGGAATTTGAATACAAAAGGCTGAAAGAAAAAATTGACAGTTTACAAAAAGAGAAGGACGTAAGTAACATATTGAGTCTTTCCTATTTCAGTGTAAAGTATTTCCTGTAATGCCCCTTGCTTCATATTGTTATCCATTGCATGGTTTACCTTCAAGTCATTTGTGTGTGACCTTCATGTTTTTGCAAGTTTCCTCCCCTTTTTTTTAATATTTTTTTTTTTTTAAACTGTAGAAATTTGTAGATCAGATGCTAGTGGCCTACTCCATTAACTCTACCTAACTGTAACCGATTAATCGAACTTAATAATCGGCTAACTAATCGATTTTGAAAATAATCGTTAGCTGCAGCTCTATGCTTAACCCTCTTGCTGCCAGAACAGTTTTTGCATATTTTATTTCTCCCCACATGTTAAAATGCACATTTTTAGTCCTGAAGACTACTTTTGCTAACATATAAAAGAACAGCCTGCGCTGAGTGATTGGATATCAAATATGTCATGCTATCAAATTTGCTTTACAGCTGCCCAAATCACTTCCACTGTAAAGCCGACAGTCTGCTTTACACAGCCGGGAGTCTGCTTAAGGCCCCATTCACACCAGGGCAGATGCGTTTCAGCGCGATTTCCACGTGATTTTTAAAAGGGCAGTTTTGGGCATTTTGTATTCGCGTTTCTGCGATGAAGCGCAATTTAAAAACGCGCTGATCATCGCATCTCCTTTAAAGGAGAACTATGAGGTGAGTGATTTTCACTCATCCTCATAGTTCTAGCCGACCTATGACAATGAAATTGTCACAGGTCAGCTCACTAGATCGAGAAGTGAGCGAACACATACCGGCGTTCGCTCACCTCTCGATCTATCCCTGCAGAGAGCCGTGACTATTACTCATGGTTCCCTCCCTCCCCGCTCCGATCCTCCAGCGCTGACTGGCGGAACGGGTGGGGGAGGGGGCAGGTACAGCTGGCTCTGCCTCTAGATAGGCAGAGCCAGCTGTTACTCACGCAGCTGGGTGGATCCAGACAGAATTGTCGGGATGCGTTTCGGCTGCGGCATCTCAGTATACCGCGAGCTGTAGCTCACGATATACTGAGCTTTGGGTGACGGGAGGACGCTAGTTTGTGTCCTCCCGTTACCCCTAGGAGAACTATGGGGAAAAGCCCTAACCCCATAGTTCTCCTTTTAAAATCTATGGAATCCACGCTAAAAAAAAAGGCTCTGGGAACATTTCGGGCGGCAGGCAGTTCGGATCGCGTTGAGACGCTCATAGATGTGCAAAGTTAGATGTTCTCATAGATGTGCAAAGTTAGAAGGGGCATTAAAGCAGAATTCTGGTGCTGCACTGCAAAACAGGAACCATGTAATAAGCTAATATGGCTGCCCCAATGTGCACATATAATTACTAATTATACATAGAAGCAAGATTTTTTTTAAAAATGTAACATGTTGATGTAAAACCAAGAACCAGATGTAAATCACATGTACAGCTAAAAAATAGACTATACATTCCCTTTAAAGGCAGACTGTCAGCTGTGATGCTCTAGATGGCACTGTTGGCTCCAATAAAATATCTAGGTCATGGATGTAGGTATAAAATGGGCAGTTAAAAAGAAAATTTATACCTGGCAAAAATGTAGAATAAATAATTTCTAAGTAACCATCACTAACCATCACAACCACTAGTTGATGTTCAGAAAAGCCTCTTCTTTTTTTTGTTTTTTTTGTTTGCTTGCAGTCTACAACAACAGTATGTCAATTATCATTAAGCTGTGTTATAACATTTTGCATGCTTTCTATTCTTTGAATCTTTTATTACAGTAGACGATTGCTCAAAAAAACACAGTTCCCATATGGTATTTGTCTTTTATTTTTCCAATACCGCAGAGACTACGGTCAGAAAGAGATTCTCTGAAGGAAACTATTGAAGAGCTGCGATGTGTGCAGGCTCAGGAAGGTCAGCTTACCACAGCAGGTAAAATATCAAGTCTATGGTCTTTGCGGTACGTCGGTGGCAGAAATAGAAAAATAGATATAGAGTTTTGTGTGTGTGTGTGCATATATGAACTGTTGTGCTGTATGCTCAAATGTGCTCCTCTGCTCTCCCAACATGGCCCTTTACAATCCCTATGTTTTTATTTTTTCATAAACTAGTTAGGTCACCTGGTGCTGTTCATTTGTCCACACTGCATCCCAGTTTAGAGCAGATGACCCTTTTTCTTAGCCCTCAGTAGCAACTCCACTTTGTCTGACTACAGCTTTCTCTTCAGCTGTTTAAACCTCAGAGGAAGTACCTTGCTACTGAACAGAGCCCTTATAACAGGAGAACATCTCTAGATGGGGTCTGAAAAAATGTGAGCATGCACAGTAAACGGACTGAATATTTAACATATCATTTATACATATCAAATATTTAAGCTGGCTAAAAACATTAGATTGCCGCCCCATAATAAGGATTTGCTCTTTCCTTTTTTCCCAAAAGATTAGATATTTATTTATGTATTTGCAGGCTTGATGGCTCTAGGTAACCAGGAACCAGCAGACAGCCTGGCTGCAGAAATTGTTACACCAGAAATAAAGTAAGTGTGGGCTCTGTCTCTTTCTTGAGTGCTTTGTATTTAATTATTTTCCTAAGTTAATTCTCTTTGTTGTAAAATACCTCATAGAACTGACATTCCTTTTAGATGGATACATGTATTGGATCCATTTTGAATCAACTGTGCGGAAAAAAACATAGGCATCATTATTTAGTGCCATTTTTAGTATTTTGATTCCGTATATGTAATGCTGGGCACACACCTTACAACCATCGCAAGACTTTTGTCTTGCGATGGTTGTAAGGTAATTTTAAAAACATACGATCTGCCCATCTTGGACAGGCAGATCGTACATGCAATGACCGCAAGCCCGCCCGGCTGAGTGGCGGGCTTCCGATGACCGCAATGCTGAACAGGCAGTGTGCGCTTGCGCACACCGGCCCGTCCGGCTTTTATCTTATGAACATGCCACACACCTGCCGACAATCGTACGATTCTCGGCGGGTTTTCGAACATGTTCTTACGATAAAAGTCATGCGACCTTACAGTAGCAGAGGTCGCACGCCTTTCACACACCTTGCGATAATCGTACGATCGTGGGATTTCCCACGATTATCGTACGATTATCGCAAGGTGTGTGGGCACCTTAAGGGAAATTTTGCATGTCATCTTTTGACCTTTGTTTAAGGTGACACTAAACTAAGCAGTTAAATCCTAAACATACATTCCAGTACCTTAACTATTAACAGAAATGTACCTTTTTTGTGTATCACTCAGCTGTAGACCCTCAAATCATCTCTGAATTGGTGTTGACTCTCTCCTTCCTTCTGGAGGCTGCCTACTTTTGTTCCCCATGGTCCCTGTGTGTTGTAAAGTAGCCACCACTCCATGCTCACTCCCGTGATGGACTACAAACTCAGTACAAATTAGTAAACTAAACCTGAGATTGTAGTAGAGCTAATTTCAGATGATTTTTAGTGACCCAGCTGAAATCCGCTCGGTGGGCGGCCCTATCTGCCGTCTCTCGCTCAACATTCTTTGATTGAACAATCGAAGGCGCCAGGCAGAAAATGACACTGCTTGCATCCAATTAGATGTGGGCACTGTTCAGGAATTTTGATAGCTAGCAGTGCCGTCTGTCAAAATAAAGTTGTGACAACCTGAGATGTAACCTGAGATTCCTCAATCCACGCTGCCTGAAAGCTGAATGAAAAAATAAACTAATAGTGTATACTCAGGTTTACTCTACTTTCAAGCCAACTGAAAAGGCCCAGTGCATTGATGGAAAGTTATAATAAGATTATGATCCCCTGTACTGTTTGATTTGTATTTGACCTTCTCTATGGAACATACTAGTACTTATATAAATTACTTCATTTGTGCATTGTATGCTGATCAATCGTAAAAATTCTAAACCACCAGAAGTCTTTTTTCTCATATGTTGGATTAAAAGTAGAAGACATTTGCACTGCATTAAAGTTCAGTGCAGCCTGACACTGATACGAGCACAAAAAAGCAGATGTGTGACACATTTTGTTCCATTTCCGCAGGGAGAAGTTAATCCGCCTTCAGCATGAAAATAAGATGTTAAAAATTAATCAAGAAGGATCAGACAATGAACAAATTGCTTTGTTACAAAGCTTGCTTGATGATGCAAACATGCGGAAAAATGAGCTGGAGACAGAGAACAGGTACCAGAGGCCAGATGGTGCTTTAGTGTTCTGTCTGAGCAGAGAGTTTTACTTTCTTGATTTTTATGTTTTTATTTCAAATCGCTACATGTCTTATGGTTGTCACATACACACTTTTTTTTTGTCACCAGGCTGGTAAATCAAAGGCTTTTGGAAGTACAGTCACAAGTAGAAGAGCTTCAGAAATCATTACAAGAACAAGGCGCAAAAGCAGAAGATGTAAGTGAAACTTCCACCAAGCTGGTTTACAGTTCTGTTACATGTATATTACAAAATATACCTGATCATTTTTCTTTCTTTTTTGATAAAGGAATTTGCAAATCATAGGAAACAGATAAGTAAGATTATAGCAAACAGTTACAGGGGTATATTTATAAAACAGTGAATTTGACATTTACCAAATGTTCGATGAAGATAAATCTTCCGAATGCAGTGATACAATTACAGTACTCCTGTATGTACCACTGATGAGCGAGAAAAAAAAAAAAGGAATATGTTGTAACTGCTTATAGCCTCCTGTTACAAACAATCGTACCCCTTAATTATGTGTATTGATTTACAAGCCATAAAAGCAAAGGATACAAGATTGACATTGAGCCTGTATTTTGAAAGATTGTTTTGGTGACTTTTCTACGCATTGTAAAAGTACCTAAGGATTCACTAATGCCTGATTTTATTCTGAGAAAGTGTGCATAATCCATCGGGGATCACTACGATACTTTAAAGTGGATAATCCATCATTGATCCCTGGTTTCATTTAAGTAGCCTAGCTTGAACCCAAAAGTCCTTGTCTGTCCCTGTAATGCAACATTTACAATAAACAGAAAAAAAAGCTTCAGCCACTAACCTCCCAACACACTCTTTTGCTGCTGGGTCCAGCCTCCCAATTTTATTACCTCAGGTGGCTGGACCATTTTTGCTAATTTTCTCTTTTTTGTTTTTTACAGCTTTGCAAGTTAGTAAAGACCGCCCCCCATCCTACCCCAAACCATATATTTTTTGAAGGCACAGGGTCTGTAGAATTGAAATAGGGTGCTACTCATTTTAGATGTCCTCTGGTAGTTGTGCAAATATAATTCAAAACCAAATTTTAATAAAAAATGCACCTAAATTATTATTATTACTTTACACAAATACCAGATAACTTCCACAATTCTCACTAAATCTAAAATATAACATTTGTAGTAATGTTGGTAAATATTTTAATATTTGTACGTTTTAAAATTGTGTCTTTTTGGGAAATGGTGAAGATTAAAGGAAGATTAAAGGAATGTAAAACTGTAAAGTAGCAACTTAGGCTAAAAACCTTGTGGCTGGCTTCACACCTGTGTGTTGTGGTAATGCAATAGCCACAGTGCGTTGAGTTAAATGGCACCCTAAGGCCTGGTTCACACCTGGGCGTTTTACAGCGCGTTCCTACGCGCTGTAAAACGCTCAACATGTGAAAACCAATGATTGCCTATGGGCATGGTTCCCACCTGGGCGTTTTACAGCGCGTAGGAATGCGCTGCAAACGCCCTACGCCCAAAGAAGTGCAGGAGCTTCTTTGGGGCGTTTTGCCACGCGTTGCCATTGGTATTCCCGAGTGTGGATCGCAGTTAACAAAGCGGTAACCCCGAGCCACACTCGGGAATACAGCGTACAGGTCTTACCTTGTCCGCGATCCCCGCTGTGTCTTTGGCGGCTATCCCTTGCGAGCAGCCGCATCACAGGGGGCGGAGCCGGTGGGAGGTTTAAAAGTGAAACTAAAATATTTTTTTTTTACAAATGGAGAAAAGGGAAAAAAACCACAAAAAAAATCATTCCGCCAGTGTTTCACTAAACGAAAAAACGCGGAAAAAAACGAGCATAAAAAAATGCTCAGGTGTGAACACAGCCTAATGCACCTTTCAGCCCACAACAATACACAGGTGGGAACTAACTATGCATTGCATTGTGATGTGCTGCTTTTTTTGACACTAAAAAAAAAATTAACAACATATAGACATCATAGTGCCTTATGTCAAAAAAAGATGTGGCGCGTATGATTTTTGGTGCATTGGCGCCCCATTGATTTCACATACACGTTGGCGTGCAACATAACGCTCATCAACACACCTCGCAAATGTAAATTTAAATATCAATATCAATAATAGTAATGTTACTTTGTATTTTTTACAAAAAGTGTGTGAGCAGTATTTTTTAAACATTTGGTCAGAGGTTATTCAGAAGAAATACAACGTAACCTTATTTCTTCTGAGTTCATATTTGATTGGAGTCAGTCAGGAAATGCCGGTAAGAGCAGGGGGTAAAGGGACAGGGAATAAAGGAGTACACTAACTGCTGCCCTGTGGATGTGATTGGCAGCCATTTTGCTGCCAGATCACATCCACAGAGCTGCACAGGTGTTTCAGCCAGTCAGGGAAGCTGGTGAATGGAGGGAAGGACAGAGGAGGTTGCACAGCACTGTAGAGTTATGAATGTGATCCCGCAGCTGCTCGGCTGCTGAATCACATTAATAGAGGTGTGCACCTCTATCAGTGAAGTGGTCAGTAAGCTTTAAGGTGCCCATACACTTTACAACCCTCGCAAGACTTTTGTCTTGAGAGGGTTGTAAAGTACTTTAAAAAACGTACGATCTACCCATCTTGGACAGGCAGATCGTACTTGCGATCATCGCAAGCCCGCCCCCCTGAGGGGCGGGCTTTCGATGACTGCAATGCTGGACAGGCAGTGTGCGCGTGTGCACACCGGCCCGTTCGGCAGTCATCTCTCGATCATGTTAAAAACCAGCCGAAAATCGTACGATTCTCGGCTGGTTTTCCAACATGCTCGATATACAAAAGTCGTGCGACCGTACAGTAGAAACGGTCGCACGCCTTCCATACACTGCACGATTCTCGTACGATTGCGGGATTTCCCGCGATTCTCGTACGAGAATCGTGCAGTGCACCTTTTAGTCTGTGAGGTTGACAAGAAGCCAGCATTATTTGGCTACCTGATCACATAAACAAAGCCATTCAGTGGAGCCACATTAGAGTTGCCAAGTTTGTATACTGATTGGATGTCATCGGCAGCTGGGTAGCTGCGGATTACATCTATTTAGTAATGCACAACGTTTCAGGTGCTATTTGAATGTAAATCCATGCTTGCTGAAGCCACTATGTGCTTCCAGACTTGGGGAATGCAGCTAACGTAAGGTATGTTGACCTGGCCAGCTGCAGTTCTGTTCTGCTGTAATTCTTCCACTGCAACCCTCACTTTACAGCCTTCATTCTTTCCCTATTCAATTGTACAGGATCTGGCTTTGGTTAGTTTGGGGGTGGGGGGTTCTTGCTAGCTGATAAAGACGTAAGGACACTTAACAGACATGTCTTTTACTTGAGTGTGGGGGCTAGTTATTAAACAAGCTAAAACTACTCCACCTTCTTGTCCTACTCGTGCTACTCTGAAACACTGGTGCTTATCCTAAGCTCCTGCCAGGCCTTAGTCCACATGGAAAATAGAAGAAAGCACTTGCATGGACTTGCTGCTGTGTGCCAGCTTTCTTCTACTTTCCTGCTGGGCCCAGTTTCACTGGATGCCTTTTAAAAAGGTTTTATTCTTTACCAAGTGCTTTAAAAGTATAAGAGCAGAAGCTCTATCATTAGACTGACTTGAGAAAGACTCCTATTGAGATACCACAAGCCTATTGAAGGAAAGTGAATGACCTGGTTTACAAGTTGAAAGGTCCTCCTTTTTGAAGTGAAAGCAATAACATCCAGTCGAAGTTGTAGGCTATACATGGTTGTTTCAAATCCTTTGGAAACCATTGTTTCTGAGTCTGAGGGCATACTAGGCAAATGCTTCTATCTTCTGGGCTATAAAAGCTTCCATCAGCCAGACTTGTGGAACCGCTACATGATCGAGTCACCTTACAAAAGTATTATCTCCTGAATGTCCTGTTGGTCAAGGTGCTGCAATGGGTCAAAAATATTTTTAGACCATTCTCATCCTGTCTTGAGGCAGTATAGATAATTTAGTATTATTTTTGTTAATACTTTTTCATGAGATTTATGTACAACATCCACATAAAAAAGCAATGCAGTAGGGGGAATTTCTTTTCTCTCATCTTTTTGTCCCTTAATAGATGGGAGAAAACCATCTCATTGTGGTATGTTCAGAGTTGAATTTACCAGTAGGCTCAGTAGGCATAGGCCTTAGGCAGCAAAGGCATGAAGGAGGTTTCTTACCCTGTGCAGTATGTACTGTAGTCAGCTGCACATTATTTCCCATTATCAGTAGACATCTAATGTAAGCTTATTTACACAGCGTCACACTATTCTAAGTAAGGTTAGCAATAATAAAAATAATCTGTGTAAAAGAAGTGATCTGTGGCAGAGTGGTACCGCTTAGGGTGCCAAACGTTGTGTGCCTATAAGTACCATTAATGGAAATCAGCACTTTTATTGCATTTAAAGTGTTACTCAAGTTACAATATGCTTTAAATATTCTTGTCAGGTAGCTGTGCCTTTTTGTTTATGTGAAAAAGTATGCATTGCTAAGCTTAGTCATTTTCTTAACACTGGCTTCATACTGTGTATGTTAACTGCATGGGTTAAGTTTCTTTCGGCTCATCCTGTCAACACAGATGTAAATTAAGAACGTGCAATTATTTGAAACTGCGAAGGAGTTGACACTTATGATAGCAAAAACTAAAGCTATTGCATACTGTAATTATGATTATGTTTGTTTATTTTCTTTTACCCTTTGGAAACTCATCACTAGGAAGATATACAGTTGTGATAAAAAATAAATAAAAAAATGTTTATAACCCTTCAGGGCCTGTTCACACGACGTCCGTTTTGTGTGCTGACCGGCTCCGTTCGCTGCTGCACTCAAAATGCATCCCAATGTATCCCTATGTGTTTTATGGGCTCCAGTTCTCACGTGCGCATTCCGTTCAGCTTACGACAGAAAAAATACTGCATGTCACATTTTGTCAGGTCCGGAAACGGAACGGATACGCAAACGCGTCAAAAACGCACTGCGCTGCAGCTAACATACTAACAGCCCCACTCCAGCAAAAAAAATAAAAAAAATGTATTTCTTTTTTTGCTGGAACGCATCCAAAACGCAGCCAAAAACGCAATGCATCAGCAGCTCCACGTCTGCTGATCAGGACCTGATCTCATGTGAACAGGCCCTCAGGCTCCTTTAACACCGAAGCCTGTCCATTCCAAACAGCAGGGGGTCTGATCAGAGCAGTACAGAATGGATCATTGTGACCATTGTGTGTTTCTGTTTAATTTTTTTTCCTCCATCTTGCAATGGAGATAAAAACTGAACTCACCGGACCCATGTTAGATTTATGTGGAGTCGGATGCAAGTGAACATGTGTCCATTTACATCAGATTATCCCCGACCCGTCGATCAGTTCCACCAAAACAGAACTTTCGGGGATACTCTGTCCATTTTGATCCGGCTGCCCACAGTCACGGCCTTTAGACTTTGGTCGATCGTACGATTTTCGCATGGTTGGTGGGGTTTCCGTCCATCAAAAGTCGTACGATTAACACTGCACAAACAAAAATAAGTGCGGTCAATTACCGCAGTCCGTCCAGGTGTTTTTTTTTTGGTTTTTTTTACTAGCGCTGATTGAACCTTGCGATAATCGGGGCAGGATGGGGTCGCCGTACGAAAATCGTACGACGGTTCGATCATTGGACGGAAAGTTTTTTGTCCGATAATCGTAAGGTGTATGGGCACCTTTACACTGTTTATATTCACCAGCAAATTGAACTTTTCTCCCATCTGACCAAAGAACATTGTTTTGGTTTTGTTATGAAACATTCACATTGTTTATCGAAAAGTTTAGATGGAGTGCAATTTTTTTGTTAGTTTTGGGCCTTTCCCATGAACACCTTTATTATTCATTATGCACATGGTACATTTTATAACCACATATGTTATTCAAAGCAAGAGGTGCTTGCAGATCTTTAGCTGGCACCATAGGGTTTTTCATCTCTTGTTCAAAGATTGGAAAAAAGAAGGCATTTGCAGCATTCTCCTCAAGTATGGGAAATTTGTAAGCCATTAGTCATGCACAATGAACCATCTGTATGCAATTAGGGTGAAATGTAATTTGTTTGTTTGATCTCTTTTGTCAATGCTTCTGTTAATTGGATTGTTTGTCACACAAGGCAATAGTAAGTATTTATTTTTGTAATACATTACGGTGTAAAGTAAAATATTTAAATACAGCATATTGTTGTATTAATAAACCATGAGGTGTATTTTTACATATATGTTTACATATTATATTTACAAGCAGTGTAAGCATCTGAATCTGGCCTTGTATCAGTCTTCTACAATCCCCTGTACAGCAGAGCTCAACTGGAAGTGAGAGAGAAGCAGCACAAGGAACCAGTCAGTTGTGCTGCATTGCTCATGTGCTAAACAGGGACACGAGCAGAGGGACAGAGAGATTACCATTACCTATATAACAGTAGTCAACTTGGATCCATTTAGGGCTGATTCACACCAGATGCCAACAACGGCCAGCGCAGCTCTAACTCAAGATAATTTGCCCTTGTCACGGTTAGGCTCGGTTCACACCAGCGCATTGCGTCGGGAATGTAGTGGGCCGCGCGGAAAAAAGTACAGCATGCTATACTTTTTTTCAACGTGATGCAGAACAACCCCGCTGTGCCTGTGGAACTCAATGAAATGTCACTTGACATTTCAATGAAGTTCTACAAAAAAAAAAACGTACACAGTGCGATGCGCCGGTATTGGTGCATTGCACTGTCGGGCAACCCTCACCAGCTGCAGTGCGTTTAGTGCAGTGGCTGGTGTGAATTGGCCCTTAAAGTTACACAATTATAGGTTATTGGCTATTTTTTAGTCTTTTTGTTTTGTCTTTTTGGGTCTACATTAAAAAAAGCATCTTTTTTACAATAATATTTTAGATTTTCTTAGTAAATTAGATATAGATAAAGGTAGTGATTTAAATAATTTTAATACTGTCCTTATCTTTATCCATCTTAAATGGAAACCCATACAGAGTCTACTTCTTTTATAATAGACTACAAGCTGTCATGACCCTTCTGTGTTGCTGTCTGTTATAGTGGGCATTACACAAGGTAAATGTTTGAATGGCCTTTTTTTAAGAACGTTACCCCGTTTGTTACAAGGAAGAGGTTCTCCTGCCCTTAACAAGCCGAAAAGCCAGCTCAGACTTCTCCAATCTGTCTTTCAATTGATCACAGAGATATCGCTCATCCACACCAAAATCATAAACTTTTACATTAAAGTATAAAGGCGAAACTCTTTTTTTAAATTCATTACTGTGTGTTTCACCGTTGGGGAAATTCACTTTCTGTGTTTTGTCATGATCACCAGTGTCACCAGGAATGAAAGTGAGGCTAAATCTAAAATTTAGAGTTGCCACCCAAACACCAGCAATCTTTCATTGGGGGCACTTGTCTCTGTGACAGGGATTACCCTCACATTGGAAAGCTATCCAATCCATTTCTTGTTGAGTCTATATGGCAGAAAGTGAAGGAAATCTCCCTAATGAGACAGAGATAGCAAAAAAAAAAACCCAGTAAGTGGTTTTATGCCTCCCCTACTCCATCAAAAATGAAAAATCTTTAGATGTACTTTAGAGGAGAACTCCAGGCAATTGAGAAAATTAAAAATTAACCCTTGCAGTAGGGCTACCCCCACACTTCAAGGGTTCAGTGCTCGTTTTGGCATAGGGGGGAAAATAAAGAAGAAATACTTGATCCTTGGTCCTGTGGCGGTGACCGCTCACCTTTCTTCCCCCACTCTGACTGTGGTATGTCCCTCAGCGTCCGCACGTCTAATGCAGTTGCATCATGTGATGTTAGGACGATGGGGTGTTGCGGGCTACAGGCTGTGGAGAAGAGAAATCAGGATTCAGAATCCTTAGAGGAGGTGGATGAGAATTGCAAAGCAGATTGTAGAAAAAGTAAGATTGTAAGGATAACATGGAGAAAGCGTCGGTAGGGGTTCATTGCCTACATTTACTGCATGTGGTCAGCTTACTATGTGTACTGTGATGAAGTAAAGCTTTGACCACAGTTATGCTTGGGTGGATCAATTCAGAATACTATAGGAGCAGAAATACTATTTCTAGAGACCATTCCTTTGAGCGCTGCTTAAAATCTTAAGTCTGATCCTCCTTTTAGGATTGTGTGACATAATGCTTGGGATTTTAAATTTGTAAGGCGCACTGGAGGAAACCTAAAGCAGCATTTTCCCCAGGAACAATATTTCAGCCCGTCTATTAAGCTGATCATGTTCCTCTGGAAAGCATTTAATTCCCCCTTCCACGTTAAACATTGTGAATGAAAGAGTCAAAGCACCTGCCAAGTATTTCTTACCTTAATCTTTCATGTTTTGTAAAGCTTTGTTGAAATTCTAAAGCTATATCACTGTACACTGATAACACTTATGTGAGTGACCCGATTTGTGATTTTTGTCTCCCCCTCCCTCTTAATTTAGTCACTACTTTTGAAGAAGAAGCTTGAAGAACATCTGTAAGTATTTATGTATTCAATTTGCCATTTACGAGTTGAGTGACATTCATAATTGTATGCGCCAGCTGCACAACACTTTCATTTAATACTTTAATTTAGAAGAACTGCATGATTTAATGGCTTACATAATGGGTATATATGAACTTTAATAAACACGCGTTTTACTGATCTGTTTTATTAACATCACAATTTGCATCCTACACCGAATATTCAGTGCCGCCTCAATGACCTCTCGAACTAGCATACAAAGTTCACATCGTGAAAATTCAGTGCATGTCCAGTTAGTATAAATTCTTATGTAGGAGCAGCAACCTGCAAAGTTATGGCTTTTCCAAATTGCTACCGTGCTTGCGCCGGCATTTGTACTACTGTACCTCCTGTGGGTCTTGTTCGTAGTACACAGCAGGAAGTTGTTAGACGTGCAGACGAGGAGTGCCTGACTCTTCTTCCGGGTCTGGAACTGTGCATTACTTGAAATTGTACAAACATCTGTTCAAGTTGCATTTAAAGTAGAATGCCATGCAATTGTTATTGTGTTTTATTTTTGGTTAGTATGGTGTGGGATTAGAACCACTGTGAGGACAGCAAAATAAATGTTACAGGGGGGTTAACCCTTCCCTATGCTATCCAAAACTAAAGGATGTTTTTTTGGCTGGAGTTATCCCTGAAAAATGTACCTGTTCCAACTTCCATACAAATTCAACTTAAGAACAAACCTTCAGTCCCTATCTTGTTCGTAACCCAGGGACTGCCTGTATTTGTTTTAGGGTACAAAGTGTTATTCAGTTATATGTTTGCAGTGCATGCTGGACTTCCTAATAAAAAAAGCTTGGCATCTGTTCACTGCACCTGCAGATAGAGCACTTTGTGTAGAATTCGATAATGAGAGGTGTGTGTCCCTCTTTTTGATCCATTAAGCTGTGTGTGTATGAATGCAGTCAAATAATCTGATTTAAAGGTCCTAAAACAGACTAGTAATAAACCGGCTATTTTAAACCCTTCTGAAAATTGCCTTGCACTTACCACCTGTTGGCCACAGTAAAAATGCACTTAAAGGAGAACTATGGGGTCAGGGCTTTTCCCCATAGTTCTCCTATGGGTCACGAGAGGACACAAACTAGTGTTCTCCTGTGACCCAAAGCTCAGTATACCGCGAGCTACAGCTCGCGGTATACTGAGACGCCGCAGCCGGGACGGATCCCGACAATGCTGTCTGGATCCACCCAACTGCAGGATTGACAGCTGGCTCTGCCTATCCAGAAGCAGAGCCAGCTTTGCCCGTCCCCTCCCGCGTCCGTTTCGCCAGTCAGCGCTGGAGGATTGGGGAGGGGGAATCCCTGCAGGGTGCCGTGAGTGACAGTCACGGCTCTCTGCACGGATAGATCGAGACGTGAGCAAGCGCCGGTATGTGTTCGCTCACTTCCCGGTCTACTGAGCCGACCTGTGACAGTTTCATTGTCACAGGTCGGCTCAGATTATGAGGCTGAGTGAATATCACTCGCCTCATAATTCTCCTTTTAATATATTAGGGCCCCTTCCCCTGATAACTACTTTAAGTTAAAAAAACAAACGGTAGATTAAAAAAAATGAAATATATGTGCCTTTCCCCTGGCTTCTGCCTGTGGCATCTAGGCTTAAGTGTCATCACTATCCTTCCTGAGGATTCCATATCTTTCAAAAAGACGCTCCTGCACTGTGCTCTCTGCATTTTCTGGGATCTCTAAGAAGGAGGGTGACGTCACTCCCTGCAGCATGGAAGCCAGGAGTAGTATAAGTAGCTTTTTTTTTTTTTTTTTTTTAAGCTAAAAGTTTGTGGTCTTTTGGTACAGTTTTGCATTTGCATCAACCATACGTCTGTAAATAACTGAATGTTACTTTTGTAAGTAATGCTGTTTTGTAAGTAATATCTTTTTTTTTTCCCCCACTGGAAATACAGAGAGAAGCTTCATGAAGCCAACAATGAACTACAGAAAAAACGTGCAATTATTGAAGATTTGGAGCCACGCTACAACAACAGCTGTAAGTGGCATTTGTTTTTTGAGGCAAAGTAAAGGTGGACTCAGGGCTTTATTTATTATGTCCCAGAGTTTGATCTAGAAAAGTTTAAAGTGACCAGAACAAGAGATCACAACATGAGACATGGTTCTTTTTCAAGTCTTATAAGTGTTACATTAAAAAAGTACAAGTTTAAAAAAAAAAGAAAATATTGAATTAAAAAAGTACAAATTTTTCTTATTCATTTTCAAATGGCATTGGATAACAAACAAAGTTGAACAGCCAGTGTATATGGCAGTAGCATTCATATCCCCAGCCCTGGTGCCGACAAACAGATATCCTTTATACACTGCCTGACCAAAAACAAAAAGCCACCACCTGGATTTAGCTAAGCAAATAGGTAAGAGCCTGCTATTGGATAAGTGTTATGATCTGGGATTGCTTCTGTTGGTCAGGTTCAGCAACGTTATGTCCCCACAAATGAGGTCAACTGCTTTCCTGAATATACTGAATGACCAGGGTATTCCATCAATGGATTTTTTCTTCCCTGGTGGTAGGGGCGTATTCCAAGATGACAATGCCAGGATTCATCAGGCTCAAACTGTGAGAGTAGTTTATGACACATAATTCTCACATAGGCCTTAACCCAATTGAGAATCTTTGGGATGTGCTGGAGAAGATTACACACTGGTCAGACTCTCCCATCATCACTACAAGATCTTGGTGAAAAAATAATGCAACTCTGGACAGAAATGGATATTGTGACATTGCATAAGCTTATCAAAACAATTACACGGTGACTGCATGCCGTAATTAAAGCTTAAGGTGCTCCAATGAAATATTAGAGTGTGTGACTTTTTTTTGGCCAGGCAGTGTATAATCTTCATAGATTAATGAATTGCTTCACCAGATGAGGTCCATGCTGTCCATGGAAACTTCTCGGGTACATGTAAAGGGCCTTCTCCTTTGTGTAGTAATAACATTTGTTAGAAAAATTAATAAAATCATCATAAATGGAATCCAAGTGCCATGCATAACATCTGCTAATGTTTTTATGTCAAACTCAGAGTTGTTTGTTAAGGATGGTACTTGGGTTCCACACAAGGAGAAGGTGCTGTCTTTTGTGTTAATTTTACATGTAGCCAATGTATATGAGCCTGTGCAGTAAATTTGATCTAACACTGCGTTTATTTTGCAAGTCAGTTCAAAGCGCTCTTAGGATTTAAAATGATCAGGACTAGGCAATTAATTGCTTTACATTACTACACTTTGTTCTTTGCTTTTTATTTTTGCCAGTTCTTATATGGTAGCGTAAAGGTTCCACCTTATACCATTATGATATTGTTAATCTGTGTTAGTTGGGAAATAATGATTAATCATGTTAAAAGATCATTACCTTCATTTTGACTGTTTTTTCTTTCCCTAAAAATTAAGCAATGAAGATTGAAGAGCTACAGGAAGCTTTACGAAAGAAGGAAGAAGACATGAAACAAATGGAAGAGCGCTACAAGAAATATCTAGAGAAGGCAAAAAGTGTGAGTAAAATATTGACAGTTTTTGGAGTTCTTCAGCGTATCGGTTGTACGTTATGGCAATCTTTCTCGTATAAATAATTGTCTTAATATATATCTTCCTCCATTTCCACAGGTTATTCGCACATTAGATCCAAAGCAAAATCAGGGATCGGGACCAGAGATACAATCTTTAAAAAACCAGCTGCAAGAAAGAGACAAAATGTTTCATTCTTTAGAGGTGAGTTAAAACGCTATCCATCCCGGTTGATCACAGCTTGACAAAGAGGCTCCGCCTCGAAACACGTAGCTACCGACCCAGTTTGCACTGCCATCCAGTGCCCTTTGACCCCCCCCACCACTCCCCTCGGCGCCCGTCACTGCACGAACCACCGCTCTGCCTCCCGAGCCTACTGACAGGGAGCCGACGTCAAACAGCTTTTCAGGCACACAGTGCCCCCGGCTGCAACGGCTCAGCCTGGCCAGCTGAGTCCGTGCAAGAGCCTGCTGTCCTTCTATTCGCAGCACTCGTTTTCAGAGGCAGACCATCTACCAGACCACTGGACCCTTCAGGTCTGTATTTACTCAGGGACCCCACCGGATTTCCTCTCGCAGATGACTTCTCAAACGTGAGTCCTCCTGTTTATTTCAGCACAGTAGTAGCGCTCTCATTACATTTTTTATTCAGTTTAAAATGTATGTCAGGGCAAAAAACAATACATCTCCACAATACATAAGTGTGTGAGCATGTTTTATCCCTTTAAAGCACCAAAAAATTCCTGTTGATTTGACATAAGTGCACTCAGCTCTTAATTTCCTATGGTGGACTGACTGCACACAGCACATTTTTGTGGACTAAGCATTTTCAGCTCTTCCCAGTTTTCTTTTGTTTAAAGTGACATTAAACCATCAGATTTTTTAACATAAACCAATACTGTAATGTGTGCCTTACTGTAATCCATGGTTGTTTCCCTTCTCTTCTCTTCCTTTTAAATCTGTATCTCTTCTCATGCTGGGGAGAACTTCCCTTTGCAGCTGAGTGCCTCTTCCTGTAGTGCTGGCTCAGGTTGTGAACCTGCACACAGACACCATGTATCCATTCCAGAGACAAGGCAGTCTGCTGCAAAACAGAAGTTCTGCCCAGCATGAGAAGAGATAGCAATATGTGTGAAACTTGGCAGATAACACAAATATTTATTACCAGCGACTGCTATTAATTTTAGGACTAATTAAATTAATTAAAGATCCTTCATATAGTTATGTGCATGGCAGAATGTTAAGATATCCTGATCCACCACCAGATGGGTAGTTTGCCTGCTGATTTGCTTGTCTCTAGTGGCAAATAGTTTTTAATCAGGTTGAGAGCTGGGATCCCCAGAGAGTGTGATTTCAGTAGTAGTTACATCTGCTTCCCCTGTTGCTGCCCCACTGAAAGTGCAGAAGAATGTTTTCTTTCTTTTTGAACAAACTGTAGTGCTAACAATGCATTATCAATGGGACTATAATGTTGTATTTGCAGAGAATTGTATGTGTATACAGCCTCTGTGGGAGTTAGCTATGTATCAGGCATGAAAACATTTTCCAACCTGCATATGTGAAATTGGACATTCTTAGTCACTTGGGTTTGGATTTTAGGGTTAGGAAAGAGCTTATACTCTACAGTTTATGGCCAAATGTGTGGAGACACTTAACCATTACACCTATATGAGTGTGTTGAAAATCCCTTAAAAAAAACATGGACACGGAGTTGTACCTCCCCTTGTGTCAATTCTTCTGGGTAGGCTTTCCACAAGATTTTGTCTGTGGGGATTTGCGCCCATTCAGCCAAAAAGGAGCATTTGTGAAGTTAAGTACTGATGTTGGATGAGAAGACATGGCTCACAGTCAGCATTCCAATTGGTCCCAGTGGTAGTGTGGAGGTCAGGGTTCTGTACAGGCCACTCAAGCGCCTCTTCACAAAGCTTGTCAAACCATGACTTCCAGTGGCACAGTCATGCTACAATCAAAAAGGGCCTTTCCCAAACTGTTGCCAATAAGTTGGAGGGAACACTTGTCAAAAATGACTTTGTAAGCTGTAGTATTTGCAATATCCTTCACTGAAAACACCTGAACTCAATAATTTGGAGGGGTGTCCACATAATTGGGCCTTCTAGTAAGTCCGTTTGTGCACAAACATTTGGCTGTATAGTAATGGTGCATATGGACATGTGGTTCTTTGTATTTTCTGACCAAATTCTGTATTCTGAATGTGGATGGTTTCCTGGGTGTGGATTTGAAGAGAAGTATTGAGGAAAATACTGTTTAAAAACTGCAAATACATTTCAAAGTTTGTGGGGTTTTTCACAATTCTTTATTGGTTTGCCACATCTGAGTTTGAATCTACAATCGAACAATTTATACCTTGCACTTTCATTATATATGTTTTATATATTCATTTTAGAAAGAGTTTGAAAAAACCAAGACACAGAGAGATCAGGAGGAGAAACTGATTGTCAGTGCGTGGTATAACATGGTAAGCATGTTTTCATTCATTTCTCTGTAGATTACTGATTTAATGAAGATTAAAATGACTCTTAACTCACGTGTTAAATCTTTATAATATTTTCAGGTACCTTAACTATGAACAAAAATGTATCCTATTTGTGCATCACTCATCTGTAGATCCTCAAATCATCTCTGAATTGGTGCTGACACAGATTTTTCTTCTGGAGGGTGGCTACTTTTGTTCTCCATAGTCCCTGTGTGTGTTGTAAAGTAGTCACCACTCCAAGCTCACTCTTGTGATAGACTACAATCTCAATACAAAATGGTAAACTAAACGTGAACTTGTAGTCCATCACAGGAGAGAGCTTGGAGCAGTGGCTTTTGTGATTTTAGCATCATAAGGAGGTAGGAGGTAGCCTCCCGGTAGGCTAACTACCACTTAATTAAATTCAATAATCCAGTATATGCCAATATAGATCCAGAGGCAACTAGGCTTGGTGTGAATGTTTCAACATATGTTTGCAAAATTATGAAATTAAGACATCTGATAAGTTGTTGGTTTTTTTTTCCCCCAAAAAAATTAGCACTCTATAAAACCTATAGTTTTTTGCTTTCTCTTTGTTGCCCTGTAGTGGCTTGTGTACACAACCTTTTGATTTGGGGATTCATCTTGGATGGATGTACAGCCCCAATTCCCAAAAAGTTGGGATGCTGTTTAAAATATACATAAAAACAGAATGCAATGATTTGTAAATCTCATAAACCCATATTTTATTCACAATAAAAAAAATAGAAAACATCAAATGTTTATGTTGAGAAAATCTACCATTTTAGGGGGACAAAAGGTAATTTTGAAATTGATGGCAGCAACACATCTCAAAAAAGTTTGGACAGGGCCATGTTTACCATGGTGTAGTATCCCCTCTTCTTTTAAAAACACTCTGTAACGTCTGGGAACCGAGGAGACCAGATGCTGGAGTTTTGGAGTTCTTCTAACTGCTCAACAGTCCTGGGTCTTCTCGTATTTCTCGTTTCAAGATGTGCCAAAGATTTTCAATTGGTGAAATGTCTGGAAGGCAGGCCAGTTAACCACCCGGACTTTACTACTATGAAGCCATGCTATTGGCGTAGATGCAGAATGTGTTTTAGCATTGTCCTGTGGAAATATGCAAGGCCTTCCCTGAAAAATTCCCTTAGTCCAGAGGATGCAGACTGTAGATGATTATATATTTAAAGTATTTGCAATTTTACATTGGGGAACATTATTCTGAAATTGTTTGACAATTTGTAGATGCAGCTTTTCACAGATTAGTGAACCTCAGCCCATCTTTACTCAGGCACTGATTCTTTTAGATCCTCTTTTTATACCCAGTCATGTTACGGACCTGTTGCCAATTAACCTAATTAGTTGCAAAATGTTCTTCCAGCTCTTCCTTGTTAGTGCCTCTTACTTTGCCAGCTTTTTGTTGCCCTGTCCGAACTTTTTTGAGACGTGTTGCTACCATTAATTTTACAATCACTTTATTTTTTATTTTTTTAATGGTACATTTTCTCAATTTAAAAATTTCTTATGTTTTCTATTTTCTATTGTGAATAAAATATTGGTTTGAGATTTGCAAATCATTGCATTCTGTTTTTAGGTAGATTTTACACAGCGTCCCAACTTCTTTGGAATAGGGGTTGGAAAAATGCAGAAGTTGAATTTTGAATTGGATCCGTATGGAGCAGTATTCATTTGTGTTTACCTTTTTTCCTCTGCAAACATGAAAACATTTCAAATGCATAGTAAGCTCATCTTAAATGCAATCCATTTTTCCTGTAGCATAGACTTCCACTAATACCCCATGCTGGAGCAGTAATACTGTTACATTCTGTGCTGTTACCCATAGCAGCAGCGCAGATGGAAAGTACTTGTCCTAAAGACATTCATTTCTGTTAGTAAGCCTCAGTAATATGTGCAGATTTTTTTTAAACCACTGGGTTTCCCCCCCCCCCCCGTCTTTTCTTACCCACAGGGAATGGCCTTACATAAAAAAGCTGCAGAGGACAGACTGGCAAGTACTGGATCAGGACAGTCATTTCTTGCAAGACAGAGGCAAGCTACCAGCTCAAGGAGGTCTTACCCAGGACACGTCCAGTCAGCCACAGCGAGGTAGAAGACCCTTTGGCCGGGAAATCTGCATCATACTCTTATGTTGCACATAACTGCATTTCAGGAAATGTCACCAGTGTGCTTTTAAGCTGTTCTTTTCCTTTTTTTTAAGATTTATTCATTTATTAATGTGTCCATTTTAAATTACTTTGACCGTGCCAAATTTTTGAGCCCAGAACATCATTAATGTTTCTCATGCAAATTTTAATTTAAGAACAGAGAACAATACTCTTTGACATGTCTTTCTGTGTAATCTCATGAAGAACATAAAAAAAGCAAAAACTTGCTACACAGAAATAATATTTATGTGTAATGTATACATTGAACAAACACCACAGTGCTATGAGGACAATTACTGTTAACTATCTCAGACTCCTGGCCCTACCTAGGCAGGGCTTTCACAAAGCAGCTGGATGCAGCAGCAGTCACAGATGACAAGAAATGTAACCGTATGAAATGCATGCAGTGTGGCTTCACTTAAAAGGAAATCTTTTTGCTTTGCAGGCCTTTGTCGCCATGTGACCCGATGGTGTATAAATACAGTCATGGTGACCTTTGTATACATAGTGGCCATTGGCTGAGGATGTCTTAACCTATTTCTTTTGTACATATTCTTCCCCCGGGTGTAGATACACGCAAGCATGTGCCCAGCCTTTAGTGTGGTATCTCTTGATGTGTTTGAAGGGACTAGACTGATGAGATTGAATCCAGCACTGCCCATTATATGCACAGAATGTGTATTTTCAGGAATATGTACATAATAAAGTGCTGCATGTGGCCTGGCTGGGAGGTTGCCCATTGCACTAGCAACCTGTGAGAATGCACTGTACTATATGACCACTTAAATAGCTCACACAGCACAAGCGGCTTCCCGAATAACTGCTGTTTTAGGTGAATGGAACGTTCATTTTGTATCCCATTTCAGTTTTCTGCCACTAGCAAAGAATCTTTTTAAACAATTTAGTGATTGAAATCCTGACAAAGTCCGAGAAAGAATGGACTGAGGATGTGAATTGTCAATAATTTTCTATCCCACTTCTGTGAGGTTTTTCTTCTCACACATGTTGTTTGTGAAGGTATTTGTGCCACTATATGTAGTATTTAAGTCGTCTACTTGATAGAGGTTTTATGAATGTCAAAGCAGCACTTTAAATGCTTCTTACATGTTTGAGTTCTTAAAGTTGTAAATGGCCCAATTACCTGTAAATTAAGTGTTTAGCTACTTTTTAAGTTCTATATTTTACTTAGTACAGGAGACTAAAGTTTTTAGAAGGTCTTGTTTTTAAAGAAATATAATGCTGGGCCACTGGAAGTGTGCATTACACATCCAATTATATCATTGGTTGCTACACTTGATTGGTTACTTTCTTTTGAAAACAAAGCCCGCAGGTATGTGCAGAAAAACTGAATATGAATTATATAAGTAGAGGATTGTTTTTATCCTCAATATCAGCAGAAAATAAGAAAAGGTGTCAGTTATTTTGTATGCTTTACTTGGCTTTAGAGTAGTCATTGCAGTTTTTTCTCATTGAAACAAAATGTAGCACAGCAATGTGTTTTTCAGTGGGGCAAAACGGAAGCATCCCAAGAGTATCTACACACATTTAGCAGCACAGTTACCTCGCAGCAGCACTTGCTGAGTTGATTCCAGATGGCAGACTGCACCAAACTAGGTGATTTAAGTAGCTGAAATTGAGGGATGCCTGCTTGACTTCTGTTTAGTCACTTACTATTGATTTAAATGCCAGAATTTGAAGCGTGAATCCCATATGATGTATGGTGCTTTCTAAATGTTTTCTATCCTTTGAAACTTTTGTAGGAATTTTAGCTATATATGGCTTGTCTTCACTGAGCATTGAGCTATTCTTGCATTATATCTGGCAACTCTGTACCCTGAGGGTTTTTTTTTGTTCATATCTTGCTATGCTGTGCAAAGAAAATAAAATCAACGTAAGGTCATATCACGCACAGATGTATGGTAATAATCTGACTGCATATTTACGTATATATACTCTTAAAGGATTTGTCCATCTCAAGTGAATGCTTCTGCTTTACATAGGCAGTGGATTGAATTGCCCCTATTTTATAAACTGTATTTCCACTTTTCCAGTAAAAGTTTAGGATACCCATCTATATATTTGTTGTGTTTTATCTATTCACACAGCATACCGAACAATTTTAAAAATGAATGTTTCTGCTTTCCGTAGGCAGTGGATTGAATTGCCCCTATTTTATAAAGTGTATTTCCACTTTTCCAGTACAATTTTAGGAAACCCATCTATATATTTGTTGTGTTTATCTATTCACACAGCATACCGATCAATAATTGAAAAAAAAAATGCGCCTTGCCTTTTTAGATGTTTTGTTGGAGCAGGCAGCATGACTGATTCCTGGTTTTCAGCACCTTCAGTGATCTGTCTTTGTAGAACGACTTATAGGACTGAAATTTTGATTGTGTTTCTCTCATTAACTTCATTAACATACAGTGGAAAAGACCCCCACCCTCACAACCCCTCCTAACATTACAAAAGATGGAGAAGCAAGTAGAAATTTTAACCCTTAAGATGCACAGAAAACCTAACCCATATAAAAGCAATTTAAACTGAAGCATTGTTAAATATTTTTTACTTGAACTATGTGAATGGGAACATGTCACAAATATAAAATAGGCCTTATCCCAATTTGGCTGCAAATGTGGAAATACACTTTAAATCTCTTATGAACGCCAGTACTATAATCTTTTTGTAGGGTTCCCAGCTCTGGCTGCATTATCTGGATTGAACATGGATAAATAATAGGTGAATCCTGCAATGACAGGGAGTTGTCAATTGATACAAGAAGGCATTGGGGGATTTACTATTATTGTGTATCCACTCTGTTTGGATAAATCATAATAAACAAAATGAAGTACTGTTAACTGAAAAGAGCCAGTTTGTAGCACGCTATAATACCTTATATTAAACTGATGTTTTATTGCCTTAATGTTTTCCACAATGTATTCCCTTTGAAGCACCCGAGAGCTTGCTGAAACTTTTTAGTAGGGCTTGAAAATTTGGAAACTTTTTATGGTGCAGATCATTTTTATTTCTTGCAATAATGAACCTGATATCCTTTTGAAAGTGAACAGAAACCAATATTATATTTTTCTAATAATGATGCATGGAAGTGATATGTGCGCAGATTTCAAGATGGTAGAACAGTTACTTATTCCAAAGCTTCCATGTATTTACATATAGGCATAGGCATACAAGTAAGAAGGTTAAAATAACATGTAACCGCCTTCTTAAGGGTAATCCCTATACTTGATTTACCACCTAATATATCGCTTTTAAAAAGTAACTGCTCTTTAGAGGAGAACTATGGGGTTAAGGCTTTTCCCCATTTTTCTCCTTAGGGTAACGGGAGGACACAAACTAGCGTCCTCCCGTCACCCTAGGCTCAGTATACACCTCGCGGTATACTGAGACGCCGCAGTATACCGCGAGCTGCTGCTCGCGGTATACTAAGACGCCGAAGCGGATCCTGACAATTATGCCAGGATCCGCCCAGCTGCGTGACTGACAGCTGGCTCTGCCTATCTAGAGGCAGAGCCAGCTGTACCCTCCCCCGTTTGTTCCGCCAGTCAGCGCTGGCGGATCGGAGGGGGGAATCCAGCCCCTCCCCTGTCACGGCAGTGAGCCGTGACAGGATCGAGAAGTGAGCGAAAGCCGGTATGTGTTCGTTCACCTCCCGATCTACTGAGCCGACCTGTGACAGTCTCATTGTCACAGGTCGGCTAGAACTATGAGGTGAGTGAAAAGCACTCACCTCATAGTTCTCCTTTAATTTGTCAGGTAAGATATTCCAAAGGACCTCCTAGCTAAACTCGCTGTAGTACTGCAATTATGTCAGCCTTTGTGTTTTCTTCTAAAATATGGCACATAGCAGCAAATTTAGTCCAAGATCATTTGGGTCATAGCTCATCTGAACCAGCCATTTGAATGTATGAGAAAGTTGAGAGCCATTTCTGGTGCTTGCTGTGCAGGTGTAGTGTCAGGAATGACTTGTGTATAGGTATCCTTGTTTATATTAACTGGGAAGACCGGCTGTAGTCCACTATGGTATGAGAAATGTGGAAGCTGCCATTTCTGACCACCTCCTGAATATTAATTTGGCTGTTAAGATGTCCCACTCGCATTAATACTTATCAAGAACAAGTATGGAGAGCAGAAAGTTCAGAGAAAAGTAAGAGGTCCTAACGCCATATTTGATGTGGGTCAGTCAGTCACGGTATTGAAGCAAAAGCCAAGCAGCTAGAGTTTTCAGAAGAGAGCTTGGTTATGGCATTCTCCATATTTTTTTTCATGACCGGTTTCTGTGTTAAAAGCACAGAAACCTACTGGCAAACCATTATTACTGATGTGCTGCAATGAAGCCCTCCATTAGCTTTTTTAGGAACATGGCTTTCAAGAGCTCCTAATATTCCTGTCGCATGTTTTTGGAATGCTGGTGGTCATTGCAGGTCTGAGGGTAGCATTAGGTTTGGATGGATGTGGAGTTTTGGTAAAGTGTAGCACCCTGCAAACCTGAAAGTTAATGCTATATTTCTTATATTACAACTAAGTCTTTATTACAAGTTAGTTTCTTCCTCCTTTTTTGCAGAGAGTCATTAAATATGGATTAAGCCAGACATGGGTACCTATATTTAAACAAAGCTCCAAACTTACAGCACTAGTCAAGGATTAGTGGTCAGAAGATTGAAAAATCATTGGCCAATACAATAGGCCCCTAAAAAGACTTCTAGTCAAGCAAACCATCCTCTGGTTGTTTGGTTATAGTCAATAAGTTAACCGTGGGAGTGATGGACTGACTTTAGGGCACATATACACAACGGCCAGACAAATTCTTCATAGATCGTGACTCATAACTTTGCTTAAAAATAGACAACATGTGCTATGCTTTCACTGTTTTCATGACGTGAAGTATAACATTGTACCAGTCGACAGTGTTATTCCTTGAATAGATACACCTGATCTGAGAGATTTTTTTAAATCTTTGACACTTATGCTACAGAACTGTCTTACCTCTATTGGCTAATGGGTCACACTTCTGCCTGCAAAGCTTTTGATGTGGTACATTAGCACCATTAAGCTTTATGACCTGGTGCTGGTTTATAATACTTTTAATAGATTTTTATTGAGAAATAAATGAAGACACAATAGCGTGATCCAGTGATGGTTCTCACCTTACTTAACACAATGTAAGGAGCATCTGGGTAAAAGAAGCTGACAGACACCTTGAGCTTACAGATCAGTGAATATAATAAGGATGCCAGTAGGCATGAGCAGTGTAAGAATAAGTGGTAGGTAGGGCATCTAGACAGTCATGAGGACAACCAGTGTTTGCAGTAGATAATAGGTGTACCACTGTTATTGCCCAAGAGGAATCTACTAATGTATGCAAGATATAGGCCTTGAAGGGTTATTGGAAAATGG